GCTTAATCACGAACACTTTCTAAAAAACGAAAACACAAAATATAGTTTGGAACATAGTTCACTTACAGGTCATTAGGAGATTTTCTTGCTATTCAAGAGAAGTCCACAACAAACATCATTTTACATCCAGACTGTGATGTGCCAACCATGGGTATTAAAACCCGGTTTTTAGCGTTATAAGCCTTCAGGCTTACCACTGAGCCACTGGTAGTAAATTTAAAACACAAAAAGTCAGTAAAATAGGACTCCATTATTACGGTGAACGTATTTTAAATGTAAAAATGTTAAACTTTGCGAATATATATCATTTTACTCGGATATTTGACGCGATATCATTTTATTAATGAGATATCAGTTTCAGTAATGGAGCTGTTATCAGGTTACAATCCCGTTCTCGATTTTACATTTAAAAATTTGGTAGATAAGACGTGTTTTGGTAAAGGCAAGTTGGTGCAAAGGGATCACACGTAATAAGGAAAAGAAAGTTAACAGTGTTTCTATGGGACCTGGCCATCCTTTGTTCCAAGAGGTTGGATCATCAGGTGACAAGTATTGTAAACAGAAAGTGTGAGACCTGGCCATCCTTTGTTCCAAGAGATTGGATCATCAGGTGACAAGTATTGTAAACAGAAAGTGTGGGACCTGGCCATCCTTTTTTCCAAGAGGTTGGATCATCAGGTGACAAGTATTGTAAACAGAAAGTGTGGGACCTGGCCATCCTTTGTTCCAAGAGGTTGGATCATCAGGTGACAAATATTGTAAACAGAAAGTGTGGGACCTGGCCATCCTTTGTTCCAAGAGGTTGGATCATCAGGTGACAAGTATTGTAAACAGAAAGTGTGGGACCTGGCCATCCTTTGTTCCAAGAAGTTGGATCATCAGGTGACAAGTATTGTAAACAGAAAGTGTGAGACCTGGCCATCCTTTGTTCCAAGAGGTTGGATCATCAGGTGACAAGTATTGCAAACAGAAAGTGCAATTCCTTTGATCACATTGACGGGAATAATATGGTTTCTACAGTGAGATCATACTGAAACATTGTATAATATGGTCTCTACAATGAGATCATACTGAAACATTGTATAATATGGTCTCTACAATGAGATCATACTGAAACATTGACGGGAATAATATG